AAAAAAGAAAGAAAGAAATTCTGCTTAAGAATATATTTGCTTAAACTTTGAATATACATATTTTTTATTAGAGTTTAATGGTTGAATATACATCTTTTTAATATTTGGTTAGATGAAACAACAAGAAGAATGCATAAAGCACTTCTGCTGCAATGATGTACTAAGATTTTTCTGAAGTAAGGACATTTGTGTGATGGTTTGTGTTGCAAGATGAACTAGCCACTCTTTTCATGAATCATCATTCTTACTTTAAAGAACAAATGAGGTGTACAACCAGAGAAATGAAAATTTGTGCTCCACTGGTGTACAATGAATCGAAATGTATTCTGCTGTCATATATACCTAATTAGAAGAAAGAAAGAAAGAAAGAAAGAAAGAAGAGGAAGGAAAGAAAGAAAGAAAGAACAAATGATAGACAAATTATGGTTATTTAAACTTCAGTATTTGGCAGACTTTTTTTTTTTTTTTTTTTACATGAATCAAGTGAGATGCCACTTGGAAGTAAACAACTGACAATATTTGTTGCCAAAATAACATTGCAATAGACTAAATGTAAAAATGGCTATGAGAAACCATATGTCTTCTATTAAGCCTAGCATTACAGAGGTCTGCAAAGAATATAAAACAATACCACTCCTTACTATATTTGTAAGAAGTTATTTTTCATAAAAAAACACTTATGTAGCTCAGCACAGTTGTGTATACCTGTAATCCCAGTGACTTGAGAGGCTGAGGCAGGAGGATCACAAGTTCGGGCCATCTTGGGCAACTTAGCAAGATCCCGTCTCTACATAAAAATTGAAAAGAAAAAGGACTGGAATTTAGCTCAGGGGTTGAGCACTCCTGGGTCAAATCCCCAGTGCAATAAAAAAAAAAAATGCTTATGTTACATGTCATGAAATTTTATTATTATTTGAAAATGGATTAATATTTTTAAATCCTCAATTTTAATTTCTCTTTGCAATACTGGAGATTAAATCCAGAGGCACATTATCACTGAGATACAACCCTAGCCCTTTTTATTTATTTTGAGACAGTGTTTCACTAAGTTGCCCAAACTGGACCTGAACTGGTGATCCTCCTGCTTTAGACTCTGGAGTCTTTAGAATTACAGGTATGTGCTGACTCGCTTGGCTCTCAATTTTAATTTCTTATTTTTCAAAGGAAAATTTTAAACTTTATTCTATTTATTTCTTTGTGTGCTGCTGAGGCTTGAACCCAGTGCCTCACATGTATTAGGCAAGCACTCTACCACTGAGCCACAACCCCAGCCCTCAATTTTAATTTCTAATATGGTAAATATAGATACAAAACACAAAATCTTTTTGGGAGCCTTGATAATTTACAACAATATAATGGGATTACAAGAAAAAAAGTTTGAGAATCATTGCCTACATCAATAAAAGAGAATGAATTAGGACTATATACAATAATGGAGATGAAACTGGCAAGACAATCATGGTAGTGTGTCTAAAGAAGACAAAAAATTCATATAATATGATTATATTTATATGAAGCACAAAAATGGGTAAAACTAAACTATGTTGCTTAGGATGAATAAGTAGCAAAGCAAAGATCTACATAAAAGACTATTATGAAAGACAGCAAGGGATTATGATTCTTCAATCACTTGTGAAAGAATTTCTTTGAATATAGCAATGTTTTATTTCTTGATTTATATGGTGGCTAGACTTTTTATAATTACTAATTTATTTTATATTTATATTTTATTTGTAATAAATTTCTGAGCTGAATATATATTTTAAAAAGCAGGGAAAGCTTCATTATCACTACAGGGAAACAAAAGAAAAAACCCATAAAAATAGAAAATAATAAAAATATTAAAACAAAAGTAGTGTATTTATTCTAATTACCATACTAGATTTTAAGGCAAAAAGCACTTCTAGAAAATTAGTATCTTACATAATAAAAGATACAATTCACTAAGAAGATATAAATAATCCATATTCTTATGCAGGTAATAATAATGCTTCAAAATATGCATTGCAACAAAAATTAAGGAAGTTATAAGTACAACTTAATAAATCTATCATTGTGATATATAATCCAATATACTAACTGACAGATGAAGCAGATAAAAAAATCAATAATAACAGAAGATTTAAAACACATAATTAACATGCAGGGCAATATGTACATATATTACAGCCCTATACCCCAAATTGGAGAATATCTTCTTTCAAAATAAAGATTACTTATGAATATTGACATGGTTTTTGCACATAAAACACTTCTCACACATGTTAAGTAACTGATAAAAACTACTGGTACATTTTCTGATGGCAATGTGATTAGGGTAATTAAGAATAATCTTTCAAAAAATCATAATACAAGGCAAGGTGAAGTCAAACATACTTGACTTTAACATTATTTATTCTTTTGGATTTTTATACTACTTTTTATTTGTGTGGGAAAATAAAAGAGAGCTGATTATATGAAAAATATGAAAAGAATCACAGTTACTTGGAATGGAATAGGCTATATAAGGTAACAACTATCTTCTTGGACACAAGGAAATATATTCAATCTCTTGCTGAAGTAGAAAATAATTTAACTGAATAAAGGCAGAATCAACTATAAAAGGGATTAAATCTTGGAACCAGGCTAATACAGGGGTCAAAGAATCTCTTCTATAGGCCACTGACTTTCCTAAAGGAACTTCTTTCCCAAGGTAGAAACTAATTATTATAAATCTCTTAGATTATATTCAGCTTCATAATACCTAATCACTTCCATTAATTTACAACTCTGGAAAATATCCAATAATTATTGGTTAATTTATAACATTACACTAACATATTTGTGTAATACTTCAGTGATATTTTATATACCTTTTCAAGTTATTTGAATTTTTAAATATTTTCTTTCTTTGCTTGCAGTTTTTGAAAATAATCATTTCGTTTTTGAACAAACCCTCAGCAACTTAGCAAGACCCTGTCTCAAAATAGAAAATAAAAAGGACTGGGAATGTGGCTCGGTGGTAAAGCATGCCCAGGTTCAATACCCAATACCAACAAATTTTTTTTTCTATTATAAGACAAAATTTATAAAACTAACTTAACTACCAACGGTGTTCAAAATCATGAAATTCACAAGACTGAATAAAAATAACAGCCATTTATATCACTTTAACATATGCATTATATACATGGGGGGAAAGCTGTCTTCTGTAAAATAATGAAAAGAAAAATGTTACCCAATGAAATATAAGATCATACACATAATTTCCTTTTAAGGAAGAAAGCATAATATAAGTGAAATATGCATTTTAAGTCTGCTTCTCAATGTTATTCTCTTAATGAGTGACTACAATTTGTATTATATAGTTTAAACTAGAGCTGTTAGAATCTATTTCCTTTTTACAATTACTCTGTGATGTGTTTTTTTTTAATATTTATTTTTTAGGTGTAGATGGACACAACACAATGCCTTTATTTTTATGTGGTGCCTCAAGATCGAATCCGGGTGGTCCCGCCCGTGCTAGGCGAGCGCTCTACCACTGAGCCACAATCCCAGCCCTGTGACATGTTTTTAAAAAGCAGATAATCATCCTATATGAAAACTATTTATGATGTTAAAAGAAAAACAAAAACTTATACAATGATGACAAATCAGAAACAAAATATAAAGTTATAAGTATTATTATGTTTTATGAGGCAGATGGTATTACAATCTGTAATTTTTACAAATTTTACATTTTCATTTTACACATTCTTTACAAAATTTTGAAATGATTAAGAGAAATTCTTTTAAAAAATTAAGAAAATGATAGACTATATCCAATGGAAAACAGCAGTAAATTTTGTAGAAAAAGTTTTACAGTTTCTTCAAGGATTAAAACAGTTATATGAGTTCCACAGACTTGACTTATTCCCTAATTATTCTAGATCAATTCCTGTGACTATGCAAAATAACCTGAGTTTATTTTATGTTATTGATGTCTTAGTACATGTTCAAATCAAAGGCAAGAGTTAGTTTTTATAATTTGGAATTTTGATTAAATATTCAGTATATGAGATAATATACTTACTTTTAGAATTGCACACTATGGCTACAATACTCTCAGAATAATAATGAATTAATCACCTGAATTCAAGGGCTTCTCAGGTGGAATTGCTAGAGTATGAGGAAGCCTTGTAAGTGGCTGAATGATCATTGGAGAAAATAAATAAATTATTGTCCATTACAAAAAGGGCCATGGTCTATTCTTAGTAGGTTAGTTACTAGCTGGGCTAACCAACAAGCTCTGACTTTATCAAAAGAGAAGAAAGCTCAACATAAGAAAAGTAAATTTAGAAATTCACTGATAAGAATTCCCAAATTTTTCAAGACAAGTCTGAAAATCATAATCTTCTTTGAAAACTAACATAATCACTGATATATTAAATAAATCAATTATCATCTTACATTAAATTTTTGTGTGTACAGACCAGAGAAATAGGCAGGTAATAAGAATTTCAGAAAAAACAAACACACTGTGAGATGTACTAAAAACTAAAAAGTTTGTCTATTAATATGCTTCTTTATTAGAACTGATCAGAGATTATGTACCAGATGGATAGATCTAGATCTTAAACTACCCATGATGCACAGGAGCACAGATTAATTGCTCTGTTATTTGTATACACCTTTTCAAATATTGCTGAAAAATATAACATTTCAATAATTCTACTAAAGTTTTTAGTGGCTATTGTTCACTCACCTTTCCTTTAATATAAAGATAATAAAAATGTATAATCACTCTGTCTATTTTAGTCTTCTTATAAGTGTAGGAAGGAAATGTAAATTCCTTCCTAGAATATAAATACAGTTTTGGCTCAACTGTACTTATTATATTCAATAAATTCCAAAACATTCTAAATATCAGATATAGCTTTATATAAAGAAATAACATCATCAAGTATAATAAAGAAATAACATCATCAAGTATAACAGGTGAGGGCTATATACATAAAGAACATTTAAAGTATTGTACATACACTATTAGTAGGAGAATGGTATCCATAAAGTTGAAGACGCTGACATAGAGCACAAAGGGCCACATGAAGAGTCACATTTCAGAATGAACCCAAGAACAGCAAAAGAAAAAAGAAAAAGACGACAAAATAATCAATTAGGAAGGGCAAATCATTATGCTACATTCTATATAGAGCACACACACAATGCAAGTAGGATAAGTTAAAGATGAGTAGCAAAGTTTTAAAAATTTCATATAATTAAAACATTTAGTGAATTTGTGACCATTTCAACCATGCTCATTGTAACCTGATAGCACTATCGTTTTGAGTAAGACATACTCCTCTTAAGTATGCAGCTTTATTTGGACGGGTTTCAGCAATTTTACATGGGATGGGCGAAATTCTAGATATAGCATCATGACAGTAGAAATAGTCTGAGACTTGTACTGGAATTCTGTTCTGTTATTATCAATGCTATGACATTTTACAAGCTAAATAACCTCTCTTAGACTATTTTCTCGTCCATAAAACAGGTACAGTACTTACCTGGGAGAACTGTAATAAGGACAAAAATGGGAGTAACATTTATTATGAACACAGCACAGAGCTTAGCATGTAAGTATCCCAAGAAATGTTATGTTTATTTAACTCCTTCTCAAATATAGCTATTTTTTTATATGGAAATAATTTAAAATTTAATTTTTATTTGAGTATGTTAATATTTAGTATAAGGTAGTTATGTGATTCTATTAAGTTTTATAATTAGTTAACCTTTTTGAGTTCTATTATATTTTGCATACTGTTAAATGGCTACTGTTAAATGGCATGTGTTTTAGTTCATTGAATTCCCATAAAAATCACATGTAGTCGTAGTCATTACTCCCATTTACCCTACTTGTACAAAAGAAAAAACTGAGGCATAGAAAAGTTAAGGAAACTTATTCAAGATCACACCAATAACAAGTGGCATAGTTAATATTCAAACACCAAAAATCTGGCTCCTCAGCCTATGTCAACCTGCTTCTTTTTTTTTTTCCAAGCTGCTTCTTTAATATAACCCACATATTTTCACAATGAGCTGGATTTTAGTTGCTTTGAAACTCAACCATAATATTTTAAGAATGTGTAGAATCATACTGTCATTTATAGCATCTTGACAGCACCACTTGATGTTCTAAATGATCCTCTATACTTACAACAGTAAAAAATAAAATTTATTCGTTCAGTTTGCATTATTTAAAATGCAATTACTTATAGTAAATTAAAACTAACATTATCACTAAATATTGTAATAAATATTAGTAGAGAACTATACTGCTGAAAAGTAATGTCAATCAGAAGCAGAACTAAAGATTATTCCTGTATTAAGAAACAGTTCTGATAGTTAAGTTATATAAATGAGACTTTAGGAGCACTATTTAAATCATACAAGATAAAACTTCTGAGACACCTGAGGAGATCAATGACTTTAGTAAGCATTCCTTTACATATAGGGCTAGGGATGCGGCTCAGTGGTGAAGTACCCCTGAGTTCAGTCCCTGGTAACCTCCCTCAAAAAAAAAAAAAATATCTTTACCCATATATTTGCTAAGGATGCTTCATTGACCTATATACATATAAAACAACACAACTTGGATATGCTGTAGTAATTCAGATTTCATAATTTCAAGTTAATGAGATTTTACTGTATCATTATTACAAATATTTGCATTAAATCAATATTAAATTTTCTTTACCTTGGCTGTAATGAAGCTCAAGAAGATAAGTTTTGTGCTGATACTGTATACTTTACCAATGTGTACTGTCTGCTAATATTTTTTCCCTTCCTCTCGCCCTTTGTTACTTGATGCATGTGTTTTAATAAATGTTAATGATTAGAATCATATTGTAGTTTTATTGGAAGATGAATAAATCCTCTCTGGAAGTATTTTAAATACACAAATAAATGAAACAATTATATTTCTATCCATTAAAATTCTATTTATTACTAAGGCGTACCAAATTCATTAACATAATTAAATCTACTTAAATTATTTCATTAACAACTTGCTGATTCAGTGAATTATAGTTAGAGGTAATCTATTAAAATTAGAATAACTGTTTACTCTTTTAATGTATTATGTATAGGAGATAAAATTTAAGAATGTATTTAATTTTCTAGTTGTCTTTGCAAATACTTTAAATGAAAACATTTACAGGGCTATCAACATAAAATTTATTAGTTACAATTTGGAAACTATGAGACCTAAATTAAGTGGAGAACTACCTAATACCCCTTTAATACTTCCCTAACATAATCAGAACCAGCTCTTTTTTTTTTTTTTTTTTTTTTTTTGGCAATACTAGAGATTGAACCCAGAGGCTTTCTATTACTGAGCTACATTCCCAGTACCTCCCCCCACCCCTTTTTTAAAAATTTGAGACAGGGTCTTGCTAAATTGCTGAGGCTGGCTTCAAATTTACAATCCTCCTGCCTCAGCCTCCTGAGCTGCTGGAATTATAGGCATGCCCCTCTGCACCCAGCTCTTTGTTTTTTTAAGACAGTCTTCTATAAGTGTTGCCATAATGCATTGATAATTTCATCACAGTAAAATATCAACTATTGATAATTTTATCATAGTCAAATATCTTATGAAGTATATGTCTTTCATAGTCCTGGTAATCTGAATTTATTAAATTAGATATAATTAAATATTTCACTAATATACTGGGAATTAATACAGTGCCCAACTGCTATCAATAATTCATGTTTAAAGAAAAACTAATACAAGTAACCATGAGAATAAAAAAATGAAGTTAATTATTTTAAAAATAAAACAATTAAATTACTTTAAAGGGGGACTAATTTGCAAATAAAACAATTATTTACATGTCTGTATTTCTGGTATATAAGTACCATAAGAAGAAATATGGTACAATAAAAAAAAGTTCAGGTTTTGGAGCTGGCCATACTTGGGCGCAAATCTTAGCTTTCCTATTTAATAGCTATATAACTTTGGATATGATATTTTCCAATTATCAGTTTCCTCATCTACAATTGTGGATAATAAGAGAGTTGTTAGGTAGATTAAATGAGTAAATTCATGCAAAGTGCCTACTATAGTGTCTGACAACATGTCTCTGAACTCATTTGTTATTTTTGTAACTTGAACTGACTTGTTGTTAGGCTGAAATAATTGAGACAAACAAACAAACAAAAAAACTGGTAATAAGATGGAAGGAAATGTTGCTTAGAAAATTCTAACTTCAGAATAAGACAATAATATTATACATTCCAGAAGAAGAATCTATAATATATATTTCTATGAATGTTAATAAAAATCTACATTACTGCCTTGTATTTGTTCCAACATTTATATTGTTATATTAGCATTAAGTTCATTTATATCATAATTAAATCTTTGCAATTCACCTTTTAATTTTTATATGCATAATGATCTGCATTAATATGCTGTATGATATACCCTTCAAATCTCACATATAACAATAATATGAATGAAAATGATTTAATGAATGTGACTATGGGTACAGATATTTAATATCAATATTTAATGTAAATATTGATATTGAGGAATATAGACACAAAGAATTTTTCTATATAACAACTGTAAAAAGTTTTCAAGAAAATTTCTAACTTCAATTACTATTTCCCAGCGTGAATAAAGTAATTCTCACCTGGAAAACCCACCTGAAATCACTATAAAGTATTTCTTACCAGCATTGCACGCTTTTCTTCATCTCCTTTAGTTTCTCTCTTTTCATTTTTTTTCCTGAATATCTCTTGAAGCTGAAAGGAAATTAATCAACAATCAAATACCCAAGAAAAGTTTTGAGGCACCTACCTATCACACTATGCTAGGTGTATTCTGAAAACAAAGAAAATATTTGGACACTACTTCAAATTCTTATTTCATTACACAATAGATGAAAGTTAAATAAAATATGCTACCTCCCAAGACTTTAGACTTATTCAAATAACTTAGACCACCTCCTGCTTTTAGGAGTGCTTCTCAAATGGGCAAATTATCATGTATCAGGCAGTAGTACAGCAACTGAAAAGACCGGATACCAGCTTTAAAGGGAAAGCAGCTTTTTGAAAGAGGGTAGAGGGCCAGGGATGTGGCTCAGTAGTAGAGTGCTTGCCTAACATGAACAAGGTCCTAGTTCAATCCCCAGTATAACAAAACAAAAACCCAAAGAAGAGTGTAGAGTAGAAACAAATAGGAGGTCAATATAATACTTTAACCTCCCATCTCCATAAACAGACAGCATTCCAAAAGCCATCTATATAAAACTACTTCAAGGGAATGAGTTCTCCAAGTTAATCTATATGTCAGTGGGGTAGAATTTAGCAGTGTTGACATAGAATACTTACTCAAAATTTCTTAGCTAAATAGACATATTCTGAGAGTTTCCCAAATACAGTCTGTACTATCATAACAAAACTACATTACACTAAACTTATCTATTTTAGCATATTTCCATTTATTGCAACAAAACTAAGAACACCCACCTCTTGACAATTCTGTAAAGCACTAGAATGTAGGTTACAGGTCCAATGGCTTTGGCTCAGGGACTACCCTTAGGCAAGGGCTATGTGGATGTTAGTTTAAGATTTTTTTTTAATTTTTAAATTGATTTTTTAAAAGTAAATGACAGTGGAATTCATTACAATTCTTATTACACATATACAGCACAATTTTGTAAATCTCTGATTGTATATAAAGTATGTTCACACCAATTTGTGTCTCCATACATGTACTTTGGATAATGTCCATCACATTCCACCATCCTTGCTAACCCCCTGCCCCCCCCCTTCCCCTTCCACCCCTCTGCCCTATCTAGAGTTCATCTATTCCTCCCATGCTCCCCCTTCCTATCCCAGTATGAATCAGCCTCCTTATATCAGAGAAAACAGTCAGCATTTGTTTTTTGGGGATTGACTAACTTCACTTAGCATTATCTTCTCCAACACCATCCATTTACCTGCAAATGCCATGATTTTATTCTCTTTTATTGCTGAGTAATATTCCATTGTTAGTTTAAGATTTTTGATAAATCCCACTAATTAGTCTTGCTTATTTCCCTTTGAATGGGTACTAATGAACTTTTGATGAGGATTTTTCTCTCTTCTCTTTTCTACCAGAGAAAAAAATGATTTCATCTGTGTTCTAGTCTGTGAAGTAAATTTGAAGCTTATTAAGAGGTATTCTGAGAGATTATTAATGGTTGTATTACAAAGGAAAAAAAAACAAAAATAGAAAGTAAAATGACTATGTGCCATTTTCCCCTTTGTTTTTATGAAGGTAAAGACAGATTTGAACATAAATGTTAAGGGTAGACCTTACTACTTTAAGGAAAAATTAATTTCTATTTTAGAGCAAAAACAGAAATTTTACCATAGAAAAAGATTCAGGATACATAGGTAAAAAGAAAGAGAAAAATGCTGGAGGAGGAGGCGGGAAGATAAATGAGCAGCTGAAGACACTGTCAGACCAGCACTAAGGCTGGACTAAGGTAAGAAAGATCTACCTATAAATACTTAAGAACTGTCAGCCCTTATTCAAAGACAAGAAAAGGGAATAGGGAAGTGGATACAATACTGCAATAAAAGGCACCAGTGAGTGGAAGTGATAAGGAAAAAGGGAAACTATCTAGACCCTGTATTGAGAAGGAAGGAAAATGCTTATGGCAAATATTTATGATTAGGTGGTTGATATAATAAAGACTGAATACTAACCTGGGAAAATATAATATTAGGACTGCTTGTTATCTATCCAATAGATAATATCTGATACATTCCAAACTTCTAGCTAGTATTTATACACAATTTTAATCATCTTTATACTATGAACATAATGTTTATTTTTACAATGAAAATATTATTGAAAGTATGAGTATATATTTCTTTACTAAAGTTGAAGTATAGATTTTTCACTCTTTCCTCTAGAGTAGTACTTCGATAATGCAAAAGCATAAACATATAAAATAAGCAATATTTATTATTGATAAAATGCAGCACATAATATACCTACCACCAAAAACTCCTTTTTATCCACCATCTCATTGCCATCAGTGTCAAACATGTTGAAAGCTATTCTAAAACCTGCATGTGGCTCTGTCATAAAAAAATAGAAAAAATATTCAAGAAATGGAAAAATGTATTTTGAAAGTACAAAATCTGTATTAGTTGTAAACAGTTTCTCAAATGCATTATGGAAATATTTTCCTCAACCAAGAAAATAAAAGCAACATGTTACTATTATTTAAATTTAACAAAAACTATAAAGACATAAACACAATAGCAGACTTAATAACCAAACTGGTAATATACTTTAAAAGTATCTTATAATACTGTATAGCACAAAAGGCAAAAATTGACTACTTTTCTTCTAAAAATAAACATTCAAAGTCTGTTAGTTTGTTAAAAAAAAACTATCAGCTCATCATATCTGAAATAATCTCAATGTTTAACTACTTAGAGTGATATAAAAAAATAAAAATATGACACAATGAAACAGTTCCAATTTGGAAAATTATAATTCAAATGACCTATGGAAGTAAAGGTCAAGAATGAGAGGTTTCAGATTTGGGTTTAAGTTTCTGAAGGCTTCAAAAAGAGAAATATAAAAAAAAGATGTTTGATAATGTAATTCCCAATTCCTCCAAAATACAAGGAACAATTGCTCTTCTGAGAAAGAGTTTCATAAGTTAAAATAATAAAAAATAAAAAGGAAACACTTATAGACAGATAATGAACTGCTTTAATTTTATAAACTTTATAACAAGGTTCACTCTTTTTTCTTTTCACTTCTAGAACAAAAAGAAGAAACCTGGGCTGAAGAAAACTTTAACATGTCTTTCAAATAGAAGCTCAGTACACACACTTTCTCAAAGTATTTGACTTTTCTTTTGACATGACTGGCATAAAGTTTAGAAAGGACCCCTGCAAGATATACCCCACTACAGATATACTTGCTACTGACCCATTGTGAAATCCTGAACCTGGCAAAGGAGAAACAGATAGCTCTACTTATTTAACCCATAATATCTTTTTCTGAAAATATGAAAAACAATAGAAAATCCTTTATGTTAGCCAAATCTTGCATGTATTTTAGGAATCTAAACTTAATTTTATTACCATTGACTTTAGAAAGAAAGAAAAATTCACACCATCTCTGATAACCAAGTTTTAAGCTTTAAAAAGATCTTCAAAGTACACTGTTATAGTTTAGATGTGAGGTGTCCCCCCAAAAGCTCACATGTGAGACAATGCAAGAAGATTCAGAGGAAAAATGATTGGGTTATAAGATATTAACCAAATGAGTGAATTAATCCCCTGATAGGGATTAACTAATTGGTAATTGAAATGGTAGGGTGTAGCTGGAGGTGGTGGAAACTGGAGTGTGGTTTGGGGGTACATATTTGCATCTGGCAAGTGGAGATCTCTCTCTCTCTCTCTCTCTCTCTCTCTCTCTCTCTCTCTCTCTCTCTCTCTGCTTTCTGATTACCATGTAGGCTGCTCCGCTCCACCACACTCTTTCACCATGATGTTCTCAAGCCCCAAGGAATGGAGCTGGCCTTCTATGAACTAAGACCTCTGAAACCGTGACCGTGTGCTCTTAAATAAACTTTTCCTCCTTTAATATTGTTCTGGTCAGATCTTTTAGTCACAGCAGCAAAAAAGCTGACTAAAACATACATGTACAAAGGAAGTCCTTACAAACATTGGACGAGAATATGAAGTTAAAAAAATAAAAAGGAAAAGGGAACACTAATACATAGATACTATAGATTATGTAGTCCACATCCTGCCAGTCCTCTTTTCATATTTTTCTTAGTTCTAATCCAAATGTCTCATACCTTTTCTCTTCAAACTCCTTAGAAGCTTTTACAGCTGTGTTCAATACTCAAAAGAAAATTTCACAGCATACCCATCTCTTTCTTTAGTAGGCAAAAACCATGTTATTATTTGGATGTGAGGAAGAGAATAACAAAGCTGTTTTAGGGTAAGAATGATGAGTATTCTGATTGACTACTAGTGTGGAGACTCAAGATTCACTCTCTCCCATTAGTCTTGCAGAAATTTTGATTCAAATGAGTACAGTAGGAACTTAATTATATGTCCTGATCTTTGGGGCTTCATGAAGAATAAAACCAAAATGACTGATTTTAAATTTGTAATTCATGAGCTAATTACTAGACCGCAAGCCAAAACATTTTTGACTCTTAATAGTGCTATGCTTGGCATATTTCTGCAGCATTTAGACATGAATTTTGCAGAACAGCAAAGATAAGCCTAAAGTCATTTTCAATATTAAAAAAAAAAACTAAAGAAGATCTATTTTCCAAGATTCACATTGAAAAAGAAAACTCTATCTAGAAATAAATTTAATGAGCATACTTACTTGTTAAAATACATAAAAGAAAAAGATATTCTGTGTAAGAAATCACACCTAGAAGAAAAATAGTATCAATTATGCTATATACAATATTACTTTTCCTCTTATGTATTAAATTAAAATATTCTACTAGCAAAAGACACTGTAAATAAGCAGATGCTAACTATTGTTTTAAAGGAGATTAAGCTATTATAAAAAAAACTGCAAAAGAAGCAGCAAAATTAATTTTAATTTAGTTGTTCCACAGACCACTTTGGAAACATATATAAAATTCCCATTAATGCTCTCAAATATATTGGCAAAAAAAGGGAAAATTATAATTTCACTTATAGTTGTAATTTTTAAACTTATGCTATTTTTCCATGTATGAATCCAACATGAAACTAAAAAAGGCAGAAATGGTTAATACTGCGAAAAGCTTGATTAATATTTAGTAACACTTGGATAAAACATTAAGACATCCTTCCTTAGAAAACCAATTTTTATACTGCATTCAAAAAATAAGACTTATAGTCACCAGTTTCCTGCTGTCTAATTATCATTTATTATTTTTGAAAAATAATATTTAAATGTACACTAAGAAATTTTTAATTTAATTTAATGGATTACACTTTATGTACCCTGCACCCTGAATTTTCTGTAGCCCCATAATTAACTTTAAAAGGAGTCTGTTTGAAGTAAATAAAAGTATACATTGTTACTTGAATTCTTACTTTTGGACTAGAACACCCAAAACTAGGGTTTAATTGATTATCTAAGTAAAATACTAAGAAAATTATAATCAGAAATAAGTCTGCATTATTTATCTAAATAGCAGATAGTTTTGATGTTTAGTTAAAGGGTATTAAAAAATCTTTAAATAATCAGATTGTGAACTTTAAAGTTTCCATTTTATCTGATGTTCTTTGAGACTACTCTCTTTGTTACAGAACAAAGAAAAGAGAAGCCACTTCAGGCAGTTTGTCAGAGACATGAAGTGAACTATCGAGGAAGCTCTGAAAGCATTCTCTTCTTTTGTTTATACTAGAACATGGTGACCTATGGACAGATAGTTCTGGTTGATTTCCGTGAATGTTATGGGAGAAAGATTCTGAAATGGTCAATGTATATAAAGATACAATACTTAGATTCTGTAGAGAACACTCAAAAAAAAAGAAAAAGAAAAGAAAGAAAAAACAAATGCCAAATGCAAGAGGAAAAAAGAGAAATGGGACTTGTTACCTCTATTATCCTATCTCATTGTTCTAATTCACCTGGTGGAGTACACAAGACTTGCTGGTTGGTAAAAAGAATTTTAATAACTACTATGCAGTGTGTATTTGACAGTAAATTTAAGATTACCCTCAAAGTGAGAATTACTTAATAGTGTTTAAGTCTTGATCATGGTAAGCACCTGTCTGTAGGGCTACATGCTTACTAAGGTGGCTTAATCTATAGGGAAGAAAAACAAAATGAAACTAATGATGTAATTTAAGAAAAATGGTCAAGAAAAACTGAAAATATTTCTGAATAGGAATTATAGATTCTTAATGCTTTCCAATAATAAAAATGGAAAAGTTTATAGACAAACCTTTCACTTTATTCAAGGTTACTCAGGATAAATAAATAAATACATGTGTGTGTGTGTGTGTGTGTGTGTGTATTTTAAACACTAAGCATATAGTAATGCTGCAATCTTTAGAAACAGGATAAGATGTCAACTCGGTTTCTTCTGAGAATTCAATAAAAAAAGTTTAAAGAAAGTTCCTTAAGGGGCCAAGGCTGTAGCTCAGTGGTAAAGTGCTTTCCTCATATGGGTGAGGTACTGGATTCAAGCCTCAGCACCACATAAATAAATAAAGATACTGTGTGTTCATATATAACTAAATAAATGTTTTTTTTTTTTAAAGAAAGCTCCTTAAAAAGCATAATACTGTTTAATTCCTGTATCACGATACATTATAGTTGGCTGTTATAACTAAGTCTATGTAACAAGTTTTTATAAATACTGTGTATTTCAGGTTTTTTTTTCTTATTGGGTAATATTTCAAGCAGATGAGCTTCTTCATTTTAAAATTAATCTTCAATAGCTCTAAAGATTTAGGTTTATAATTGCCCTGCCATTTAATCTCTGGGAGAAAAGAAAAAAAGGCAAGTATCTCTGAGTTTCTCTACTTTACCTAGTCTGATGGCTCTAAAGCTTATTGAATCATAAATTATCTTGACAATCTGAAGCATATGACATAGATACAAACTATCCTACAAGGTAGTCATTGAATAAGTGCAATTATTTAAATTTAAATTAATCAAAGTCAAATAAAACTGAAAATTCAGTTTTTCAGTTTTGATTTATGCTAGCCACATCTAAAGTGCTCCATGGCAACATTTGGCAGTGGATACCATATGAAACAGCATAGAAGTAGAATGCTTTCTCCACTACAGATAGTTCTATTTAAACAGTACTGAATAAATGCTCTCCCTGAAAAGAAGAAAAATAGAAACATGCATATAACATGAGGAATATTAGGACATGCCTAAATTTAGGGCTTTTAGATTAAAGCTTTTCCTTAGCTAAAAAGAATTTCCTTTTCCTATGCATTTTTTTCTGATTATGTCTGACCAGAATTATCTGTTCCTTCTGAGTTTTGAACATTACTGATCCTATCATCTTACCCTGTAATCTGTATGATAGTTTTTGAGACAACTTCCAGGAAAAAAAAAAAAAAATTTAGACTGTTTAAAGACAATTTGGCCCAGGTTTCTCAAATATTTAAAAACCATAGTTATGTAAAGTCTATAATAAAAGATAAGTTGTATTTTTAAAATTCCATGTGAAACAGGTGGAAGCAATATTTTTTAATTTTCTTTATTTTTTGTTTACTGGGGATTGAACATAAAGGTGCTTTATCATTAAGCTTCCTCCCTAGCCCTTTATTTATTATTAAAAAATAGATTTAAAAGATTAAGTGTTCATGCAAAAAAAAATCTCATTTATTTATTTATTTCATCTACTTTGAACTCTTAGCTGTTGCTTCCTTTTAAATTTTTTTATGTTGAGACAGAGTCTCAATAACTTGTGGAAGGTCTTGCTAAATTACCCACGCTATCCTTAAACTTGCAATCCTCCTGCCTCAGCCTCCCAAGACGCTGGGATGAAAAGTGTTTACCAACACACCAAGCAGAAATTTGAATTTCTAATTCTAATTTAAGTATATGAATTATAACCATATTCCTTCAAAGTATTTATCTTTAAGCTAGGATAAGTATAATATTTTCAAACCAATACTGATTAGCAAAGATGAAAAAGAAAAATTTAATTTTAATTTAATTTTTTTGCATATTCTTTTATTTAAAAATCTAAACAAGTATGTGTCATTTCTTTTTAAGGTTAAAGGTTTTTTAAGGTTTAATATGCATGTATTTCATTAACTAATTTTTCCATAAATGTGTACAAAAAGTATGTTGTGAAAGAAAACTGCAATAAAAGCCATGTAATAGGATTCCAAGCAAATTAATTTAGATACAGGATAATAATAATGGAGTAAATTAAGCAGGTGGATTTTGTAAATTTGGCTGCCAAAAGACATGTCTGATAAGTTTTTCATAGTGATTAAATTCAGGAATATCCATAATTCCTTAGAAGCAAAATGAAAGGAAGAAAAATAGATACTTGAAGATCTATTATTTTTAGCTTTTTTTTTAAAAAAAAAAATTTCTTTCTTTGGTAATGCTGGGGATATTCTTTTGTAATACAGGGCATCATGCAATTTAGGTGAGTGCTCTACAACTGAGCTACATCAATAGCTCAAAATCTAATTCTTTGAAGCATGCTTTATTTTGTGGTAAATATAACTTGTGCTTTTCAACGTGGTTTTTCAAAAAGTAATTTTTTAAATTATGAAAGTTCATTCTGTCATTAAAAAATATGGAAGATTAAGTAATATACATAAAAAAGATAACATAAAAACAACCATCCTAAATCATGCCACCAAATATAACATTACTATCCAAAAGCATTCATGTTTTGGTGTTTTAGTTTTCAGATTTTTCTCTCTATATTATATACATATATGCAATTTTAAAAATTACTACAGGTATGGGAGAAATATACACACATGAATAGTATAATCAGCAGTGTCAATATTAAAATGTGTAAGTACTCAAATTAACTTACCTCTTTCTTTAAGATTTCGAAATAGCTTTGATGATCCCTTCCAAACTGGTGGTGTTTCTGAAAGCATTTGATTTAATTCCTATGACAGAAGGTGTCATATATGTAAATACTTTCTTAAAAAATAGAGTTAAAAAGTTGAATGTTCAAGCAAAAAAAAAATCAATTAAAAGACCTCAAATGTGGTATATTTATCCTATTTTTGTCCTACAGTTTATTCACCCACAAAATAACAATATTTGCCCACAGTGCAAATATAAAATAAATGATAAAGATCCTATAATGAATTAGAGCTACTCAAAATTTCAGATAAGTAACTGGAGTTATATATAGATAAGATAACCATATTAAGATAAAACAGTAAGTTTAAGTTCTGGAGTCAGTTATAAAGGAATAGTTTTATGAAAGCCACATGGATTTCTTCATCAAGGTCAATATGATCACCTGGCCTCATATTGTTCTTTTCAGCATTACTGGATTGAGGGGGTTTTGAGCAGAGGAGATTAATAAAGGAATATGCTAAAAAGGAATGAAGAGTATTTTTATGGTGACTCAAAGAATAAGGACAACTGATAAAGTGGAAAGACAGGGATATTGAGTTGTGACCAGTTTCAATTTTTTTCAGATTTTAATTTAAATAGGAAAGAACACAGACTCAACTGCTATCTGGTCAGCTTTAAAAAAAAAAAAAAACACACTGCTGGTGGGATATTATTAAAGAATTTAAATGTTTGTATCATTGCTCATATAATAATTTTGAATTATTGTGCATACTTCATAAAAATTACTAAATAAAAACTGTAATTTGGTTAATTGTAAAGAATACTGATTAAAGGATTTGGTAAGATAACAGACTAATCTGAAATTTAAAAACCACTCTGCTTAGTAACATATTAAAAAAAAAAAAAAAAAAAAAACAGAGACCACTTCTATTTCTATATCTGATCCCTCTTACTCAAACTGTGTGGTTCACCAACAATCTGGGTGTTACCTGGGAACTTAAGAATGAATTTCCATTCCTATATCCAGCCCTACTGAATCAGACTGTTTTTTCATATATCTCAGGAAATTTGGGGCATATGCAGGTTTCAGAAACACATCAAATAAATACTTCCTGATGTGGCAGTATCCGAAAATACTCTGTGGTATTTATAAATGATCATTGTTTTCTGATAACTTTGAGGACTTAAGATTTATTAAAATTTTTATATTTTGATTCATGATGAGAATCTCTCTCCTTATCCCCAGGGCCTACCTTGTTCTCTTGTATGTTGCAGTGCTGTATAAAAAGTTAACTTGACTGACTTTTGACCCTGGCCCCTGGGAGGGAGACTATAAATCTTGGATCACACTTGACTTTATGCTAAGGAAATGATTCAGGATGGGATCTGATCACCAGAAAGAACACTATGATTTGAAGTGACCCAGGCATAATGTCTTGAGAGGAAAAGGAATAGAAATTGAGTTCAGTTATACATATGGTCAATGATTCAAATAATCATACTAGGTCATAAAACCCCAAGAAAAGATCTGGAAAAGACCTGGATACCAAGCTCAGTGGAGCTTTCAGGTTGGTGAACACCCCCTGATTTCACATGAAGACGGCAAAAACGCTCTTTGTCAGGTCCCTCCCAGACCTAACCCTTTGTCTCTTCATCTGACTGGTCTTAATTTGTATTTTTTGTAATAAAACTGTAATCATTAGCATAGCATTTTTCTGAGTTCCATTAAACCTAAGGGGAATTGTGGTAAGGAACTGTGGCAAACCCCTGGTTTTGTAGGTCAGAAATATGGTGCCTGGAGATCCCTGAACTTACAGCAAGCATCTGAAATGAAGGCAGTCTCATTGGGTAACATGCCTTTATATAATCTCTTGGTGATTAGTGTCAGAATTAAACTGCAGTATTGCAAGAAGTATTGAATAGATGTTTTCTGAGTTAAATTAAGTTTCCCAAAATTACAGATGCTTTTTAAGGTATTTATACAACCTTCTCAAATGAGTACAGTTTTTTTTTAATTATACAGTTAATACATATACATCACAGGAAAATTAGTAAGCATAGATAAGAAAAAATAATTACGATCCAAGATAAACACATGTAAGTTTTAATATTCTTTTTATCTGATTCTGTAGCTGGAAATCCTTATATAGCATTTGTTACTGCAAATATTAAATCTTCCTCCTTTTATTACTTTGGAACATCCTCTTTTTAGTCCATATATTGTGGGCATATTTTCCTATCAAATATTCTTCATTTTCATATTAATGGCTTCATAGCAGTTGTCTATAATAGCAGTTCTAAAATTCATCTCTTTACATACTTAAAAATACTGTTAGCCTCAAAGACATATGGTTTATATGGGTAAATCTATTTTAAAGTAAAAACAAAAATTTTTTAAAGCACAAGAATACACAAGCATACATTCCATTAGCTGTCAGAGCAATGACGTCATCACTCATCATGCAGCCTCTTAGAAAAATCTACACTCTGAAGGAGTAAGAGTAAATAAAACAAGTATCTTTTCAGCATTATAATGAAAATGACTTGGACCACATACATCCTTGAAAAGGTCATTGCATTTAAAGAACTACAGTCTATATTATTCTACAACTTGTCGTTTTGCTTATCCTTGTATTTTCTAGGTCTATTCACTTCAATATATGTAGCTCTAATATATTTATTTATCTTAATTCTATATTACTATATTTATCTTTGGTATGTGTGTTTTACAATTCTTTTTATCCATTTCTCTAATGATTGACATTTATATGGTTTCTAAATTCTGTTGGAATTTTTGTTAGTGTTGCACTAAATTTATGGATAAATTTGGAGGAAACCAGTATCATTATGAGATAGCTTATTGTCATCCATGAATATGATGCTCCATTTATTCATGTCTTTTTTCCTTTCTTTCTTCTTCTTTTTTTTTTTTTTTTTTTTGGTACTAGGGATTAAATACACCCAGGGGCACTTAACCACTGAGTCACATCCCCAGCCCTTTTTGTTATTTTATTTTGAGACAGGGTCTCTCTCCCAAAGTTGCTGAAGCTATCTTTGAATTGGCAATCCTCCTGCTTCAACCTCCCAGACTGCTGGGATTCCAGGTGTGTGTCATAACGCCCAGCTCATTTACTTTTGTCCTTTTAAAAATGTGACTTAATAACTTCTTCCACACTTTCTATTATTACACTTTTAAGTATGTAATAATTCTTGTGAAATTCATTTATTTGATAATAATTTCTAATTGCCACTGCTATGGCAGAAGCCCCAAACCAGCACGTTAATTAACTTTGGTTCACTGATCTTACATTCAATAATAACCTTGAATTTATTTGAATAAATCTCTGCATTTTTAAATTTTTCTCTCAGGCATATTATTTGCTACTATTCCAATCACTGGATCCTTTCTTTTTTTTTCCTCTTTGTCATTTTGCATGTTATGGCCTGAACTGTGTCCTCCTTCCCCCCAAATTCATATGTAAAGTCCTAATTCCCAATATTTCAGAATCTGGCTATATTGGAGAGGTATTCTTTAAAGGTAATTGTATGAGGTGGCCCTAATCTGATATGACCAGTGTCCTTATAAGAAGAGATTAGAACACAGACATTCACAGAGGAAAGACTATGTGAAGATAGAGGGAGAATACAGCTATCGAGAGCCAAGGAGAGAGGCCTCAGAAGAAAATGACCTGTTGATGCCCAGATTTTAGACTTCTAGCTTCCAGAACTGTGAGAAAATAAATGCCTGATAAGTTACTCAGTTTGTGCTACTTTGTTATGGCAAACTAGAAATATAAGCTAATGAGATGTAATACTTTGCTAGGCCTCTAATAAAATGTAGTGAAATAGTTGTAATAGCAGGTATATATTTATTATATCTGACTTTAAAAGAAAATGTCTCTAATGTTTCACCAGAAAACGTGTCATTTGCCATAGGCTTTTGAGGATTCCCTTTAGTTAAGGAAATTAGAAATGACTAAATCAAAAAATAGAAAATTATCAGTACATTAGTAGTCTCTCTAAGCCCCTCACTGATGATGTTACCCTTTATCTCCCCTAGAAGTAAAGGACATCTTGAATTTTATGTTAATCATTTCTCAGTCTTCCCACCTATGAATGCAATCCTAAGTAATATGGTTTTACTTTCCCAGTTTGGGACTTTATGTAAATAGGATTATATTTCTTAAGTGAATTGCTTATTTTGTTTATCATTACATTTCACTGAGGTTCATCTAGTTATAGCATTACTACAAAGCCTTTTTTTCATTATTCTATACTATTTACCATATGACTATATCAAAATTTATATGTCTACTATTAATATTTATGTTATTTTATGCCATTATGAACAATCTACCAACATTTTTGTGAACCTCTCCTGCATATAAGCAATGGTTTCTCTAGTTATACACACAGGTGTGAAATTAATGGGTCATAAAGGACATTCAAGTTTAACTTTACTAGGTACATGTGTATGCATTGCTATAGAATTTAAACCCAGACATGTAATTGCAAAGTTCAGGGTGTATATTATCTTTAATTTCATCAGATAATACCAAATTGTTTTCCAAATAGGAGTATACCAGTTTACATTTACAAATGATATTTACCATTGAGCTATAGCTTTACTAGTCCTTGGAATTCTCTACCTTTTTTATTTTCTGACAACATGGAGGATTAAAAAAAAAAAAAAAAAGAGTACCATGATGTGATTTTAATTTTAAAAATACATATAAATACATGTGTGTGTATGTGTGTTTGTATGCTTGTGTATATGAATATGCATGCATATGTATACCAAGAGCTTTAACTTACCTGTTTGGATAGCGACTTCCATGTTTTAGCAACTAAAATAAATATAAAATAATTAGATAATAAATACTCCATGTAATGTATATCCATATTCAGTAGCCATCTATAAGCATAACTCAAAGCCAGGCTTCTATGTCCAAAAAGCAAGGATTTTTAAATCTCAAGATCTGAATTTAAGGTATGATCTTATCTGTTTCATGTACTACAAACTGTTCATAATAAATATTATCAGTAGAATAGGAAATATTTTTCCATAACGAGATTGTTTTAGTTTGGTGATTCCTGAATATGTTATTTTTTATTGATTAAAACAAATAAATTACAGCGGAATGCATTACTATTCTTATTACACATATATAGCACAATTTTTCATGTCTCTGGTTGTATATAAAGTATGTTGATACCAATTCGTGTGTTCATACACATCTCTAGCAATTAGAGAAATGCAAATCAAAACTACTCTAAGAAATCATCTCACTCCAGTCAGAATGGCAGCTATTATGAAGACAAACAACAACAAGTGTTGGCGAGGATGTGGGGAAAAAGGTACACTCATACACTGCTGGTGGGACTGCAAATTGGTGCAGCCAATATGGAAAGTAGTATGGAGATTCCTTGGAAATCTAAGAATGGAACCACCATTTGACCCAGCTATCCTTCTCCTCGGGTTATACCCAAAGGACTTAAAATAAACATACTACAGGGACACAGCCACATCAATGTTTATAGCAGCACAATTCACAATAGCTAAACTGTGGAACCAACCTAGATGCCTTTCAGTAGATGAATGAATAAAAAAAATGTGGCATATATACACAATGGAATTTTATTCAGCAATAAAAGAGAATAAAATCATGGCATTTGCAGGCAAATGGTTGGCGTTGGAGAAGATAATGCTAAGTGAAGTTAGCCAATCCCCAAAAAACAAATGCCAAATGTTTTCTCTGATATAAGGAGGCTGATTCATAATAGGATAGGGAGGGGGAGCATGGGAGAAATAGATGAACTCTAGATAGGGCTGAGGGGTGGGAGGGAAAGGGAGGTGGCAGGGTGATGGATTCCTGGATTTATAAGAAAGTGAATTTATTCCATATTAAACATGTTATGAGATTAAAAGCACAAATAATAATATTCATAAAATATTCATATAGGAATAAGATATATTAATATTCCTGAAAATAATTCATAGATAAGATCTCTCTAGGACAAAGAAGGATATGGGGAAAGAGAAAAAGAGATGACAGAGCAGGTAAAGTAAGAGGGAAACTCTTATTGTGTTTTTTCATTCTTCTTCGCTACAGCTACTTAAGAAACATCTTGGAACACTAGTATTGTAGTTGAATAAAACATTTGGGATCACTTTCTTTTTCTATTTCCTCTTCACACCCCTGAAAATTGCAAGCATTATAAAACTTATGTTCAATCAGTATTGTTGGGTTTTTTTGTTGTTTTTGTTCATATTTGAACATTATAAATATGTAATGCCTGCCTAAGAATTATTTCCAAATTGAGTAAGTCTTATAACAGCTGCATTAAGAAAACTGGTATATATTATTTTAGCTTTATTACACTGATGACAACCAATCATTGTTTCTATATTGAATGGAGCAATGTATAATCAACAATACAGCAAATTAAAAATTACAAGAAAGGTACTTTTCTTTTGCTATGCAACTCTTTTTAAGGCAATATAACAACTCATTTTAAGACCAAAGAGAAGAAATAAGCTTCTAAACTTTGACAAAATAATTTTCATGGAGATAGATTTCTATGTCATAATAACATTCTTCCTTTACCAAAGAGAGTGTATAAAAACATGTAATCAAATGATTAAAATCACAGGCTGTAAATTATAATTTAGCAATAACATTAACCATAAGACTATATATTCATTTAATAATGCCACTTTACTTTTTAACAATGAAAAAAGAACAGATTTATGATTTATGATAATATTTATGATTCTGTTGCTCTTAAAATATACCCATAAAACAAAGGAAGAAAAATGAATGGTGCAAAAGTACATGCACATGTTCTTATGCAATGTTCATAAGCTATTTATCAAAAGAGGAAGTTAGACATACTCTTGAGTTTTGTAGGGTTTATGAGATTACCACAGTAAATTATTCACAAAAGATATATTCATTCTGCTGGAAATGTTCCATGTTCAATATTATTAGCTTTTGTAAAAGTAAAAAGGTTAAAGAGCCATTAAGGCTGTTCTTCAAAGGATTTTCTGACTTTCTAAATTCATTTGTCTCATATGAAATTACTACATATGTAAATATAACTTAGGTGGAGAGAAAAGACTTAAATTCTATTGGAAATATTTTATTTCTTAAGCTATAGTTTATGTTCTTTATATTTTAATATTATATGTATGAAATATTTTTAAAACAATACATTTTAAAAAATCTAAATTAAGGGCTGGGGTTGTAGCTCACGTGAGGCCCTGAGTTTGATCCTCAGCACCACCTAAAAATAAACAAATTAAAAATGGGGATATTGTGTCCCTACAACAAAAAAAAAAAAAAAAAGAAAAAGAAAAAAGAAAAAAAAATCTAAATTAATAATTTTTGATGTATAAAAGTAATCAATTACTAATTGTAGTTCTAAATATGAAATTCACCTGTTAAGGTCTAAATTTTAAAGAGGAATTTCTAAACAAGAAATTTTCTAGTTTTCAAACAAATTTTTAAAAAATTCTGGTTATGAACTCAAGTGATGATGATGATTATGATGGCTGTATCAATATTCACTAAATTCTCACTGTGTCAAGCACTACACTAAGCAGTTTTTCAATCTCCAAAAATTCTTCTGAGGTTATTATTACTTGCAGTTAATAAAGTTAATACAGACTACTTAATAATAAACACTTAAAAATCCATATTATACAAAATCAATTTAATAAGGGGGATATAATTATCATAGCCTTCAAATTATTTTTTAAAGGAGCCCTTTTTAATTTTCCAGCCTTTTCTATTATTACTGCCCTATATATTCCCAAAGGGGCTGCTATAAGTATACCAATACCCTCTTGATTTTATATTTTTGTTCACATAGTTTCCTCTCCTTTACATGCTACTCCCTCAGTCAATGGTCAAAATCTCATTTAAAAATATATTTATTATAGGCTAAAATCTTCCAAGATCAAGCCTCTTGCCACAGTCCGGCTGCAGGACTCTAACAGCCTCTACCTTAAATTCCACTCCAGCCACATTTCCTTTCTTTTTTTGTAAATATCTCCAAAGAGTTGTTTACATTCACTATATTCACTTCTTCATCTGCTATGCAGCCCTACAATCTGGTCTCTGCCCTAATCAGTCCACTAAAACATCACTTTAAAAAAATCATCAATAATCTTCACTATAGTACATCCACTAGATGTACTATTTAACTTCTCAATAGTATTCTACTTATTTGATCATTCTGGCCATTTTCTTTGGCTTCTATGATTCTAAACACTTCTGATTTTTCTTTTAGTCAACTTAAATGAATTGAGACAGATCCACTTGTCTTATCTTTCATATGTTCAACATATCTTAAACACATTATGTCTAAACTGAAATCATAATTTTTCTCTTCAAACCTCATTCAGTGAAGCCAGTCATTACTCTTTCATCACTATCTTTGGAGGCTTTTGAAGCTTGAACTACCACTAGCCATGCTGTGAGACAGTATCAAAGAATATTTACAATTATCAGAAAAAGATATGAAAATACCCACTCCCATTATCAGTGAGGTGGATATCCTTCATATACTTACATGAATTAATCAAGTAAATGAAAAAGTGTGAAAATATTTGGTCTTCTGGAGAAATTTTATATCAATTTATAAATAAGTAATTTATATGAATAAAATATATATTCCAATAGGTTGAAAACAAAAACACATATGAGAATCCAGTTATCTGTTATTAAATTAGGTATCAAGAAATTTGCAAGAATGTGCATAATGCCAAAAGGTTTGAGAACCACTAACACATGGAAATGTGAGAAAAAATTAACCTACATTTATATTGCAGGAGCAATGACAAGTGCAAAAGAGATTAATCTGTTCAGATTAGATAAAAGTATGAGTATGCAGGGCCTATTATAAAGAATATCAAAAGTAAGTTGGTGTTGAATTTTAATGTACAAGGAAGAGGAAACAATTGATAATTTGTGATAAAAGAAAATAGATAAGGGTTTATAAGAAATATTATGGTAACATTGTATAGCATATGTCTTGAAATACTATACTATTTTTCTAGTTATTCTAAAAAGCATATACTGCTGCATACTTTTACAAAGTAGAGATAACAATATAATCTAACATGATTAAGATAATCTTAAAATATACTTACATTTGGGCTCATCTGTCGTAACAGCCAAAATAAAATCATACGGAGTCATGAATAACTGCCCTTCACATTCTATAGATGCAAACAAACGAAATCGCCTTTCCCTAGATGTAGCGTAGAGGTCTAAGTCTTCAATATCTGTTCTGCCAACAGCAACCTAAAGTTAATAAAGCAAATAAATTTTGAATGTGTGAAACAACTTCTCCTTTTAGAAGATAAATATCTTTAATTATGTTAATAGTAAATTAATCAAGTAAAGAAAAAGTGTGAAAATATTTGGTATTCTGGAGAACCTTCATCATTTTATAAATAAGTAATTTACATGAATAAAATGAATCAAAAGATTCTACTTTGAATGTCATTAAAGACTTGAAGATTTCTGAATAGGCACTTCAAAGATTTATTATTTTTTGAGTGGTTTATATCTTAAGTTTTGGTTGTAGAGAACATTAAATTACAGAGCCAGTGGTACCTTTAGAGGAAACACCAACACTTGCTGAATGCTTACCATGTACTCTCTATATACTTCTTTATTTGATTAGAAGTCAATTCATTTAAGTCCATTAATTTTCTAAAAGGAGAAACTAAAGCCTGATATGCTGCTCATGACTATCACTAAGGTAATCATACAGAAGTAATGTTTCAATTAAAGTTGGAATTACTAACTCTAGATCATTATGGTATATTAACCACCAAGAGTCATTCTGAATTTTGCCTAGAGTCAAGTTGAACAGAATTAGAAGATGGTGTGGGGGGGAGGGTCCTGTTTTTGTTCATTTCCTTATAGACAATTTTCCATTGTTATTTATTTTCTTTCTGAACTAAATATAGGAAATTAATTTTTTAATAGAAGGATTTCCTGATTATAAAATTAATGTCTATACAATGTAGAAGCATTTTTAAATATTTATAGATATATCGTATCATTTTTGGCAAAAGAAATGGAATTAAACTATTTATGCTATTCAATAATCAGAACTCCATTAAATATATCAGGGCCACTTTCTTATGACATTAGGATATTCTAGTAGCTACTGCATATAATTGGAAGATTTTTGAATTTAAAAATCAATAGATATAATTATTTTGCTTTCTTTTTTGACAAAAATGGGATTATACTACATACAGAGTTTAGTAATCTATAGTCTTTTTTACTATTAGGACCATTATCCTATGTCACTATTAAAGTAGAAGACTATTTTGAAAAACTATAATATTTCATGGTAAGATTTTATAAGTAATAATAAACAATTCATTGTGGCTAAATATTCAGATGATTTTTAGCTTTTTACTATTATAAAACAATGGTATAATAATCAGCTTGCCAGGCGAGGTGGCATACGCCTGTAATCCCAGCAGCACAGGAGGCTGAGGCAGGAGGATCACAAGTTCAAAGCCAGTTTCAGCAATAGCAAGATGCTAAGCAACTCAGTGAGACCTGTCTCTAAATAAAATATAAAATAGGGGATGTGAGTCGAGTACCCTTTAGTTCAATTCCCGGAACTCCAAGCCCCGCCTCAAATCAGGCTTGAAAATATTTAGAAATATCCACAAGTAGTTCCTTGGGATTAATTCCTATGAGTAGAATTGGTTAGGCAAGACCTTTTTATACATCCTAAAGGAGTTTATAGTTATTTATGGGCTCACCAACAATATGTAAATTTTCACATATTTCATAAAACTAATTTATATTAGAAAAACTTCTTATTTAGGATGGCAAGTTTATTATCTTTATTGTCTCTATTTTTTGCCTATTGAGTCTTAAAGCAAATTATGTACAAAATATTAAAGTTATTTAAGTATCTCATCCTTTGGGAAACCAAAACAAGCTATCCAAAAGCATTTTCAACAAAGAGACTACTTTTTTATTTCTAAGTAACACTTTATTAAATGAAAAGTCAGACAAATGATGTTTTCCACCATTTTGAAGATGATGACATTTCAAAACATTACACAAATAATTAAATAAACACTAAAAGAAAGAAAATTTCACTCCCTACTTTTTCTTTCCTTTTTTTGCAGTACTGGGGATAGAACCCAGGGCCTTGTACATGACATTGGTCAAGGATTCTGAGCTACATCCCTAGTCCCATTCCCCATTTTTTGATGGTATGTACACGAAAAGGAATAAGGGGTGTCTGACTTTAACGTGTTTACAATCTATGTAGAGTAACACAATACTAGTTGGAAAAAGAAAAGATACAAACATGGAGAAAGTAAATAAGTCGTCAAATGAAAGTAAATAGAAGAAAAGTACTATAGGTTGATGTTAAAAAGAAGTTTTCCTTAAGAAGAAAATACAAGTTTTATGTATTTTGAAGAGAGATGTACCCTGCAAGTTTATCCAGCACATTTGAAAGATGATGATGGTCTTCCCTGGAATAGAGGATTTACATTCATGAAGAAGTAAAGGGAAGATATGGCCAGTTAATAATGATTTCTGAACCCCAGGCTAAAGCACTGGATTTAATCTAACAGAAAACAAAAGGTTTTGGAAAATTCTTAAGTGGAGCAATAAGAAAAGAAAATGGTATCTCGAAGATAAAGCAACCCATACCAAAGACAAAAGGGCTCAGTATTATATTAATAACAACTGCTCAAGCAATCCATAGATACTAGGAAATTGTTTTGGCTCTGCCTCAAGTAAAACATGATACACTAAACAACCTAATGATAATTATGAACAATAATCTCCCTTACTAGTGCTAAGTTACCAGCTTAGTAACCTTGTATACACATATTCCAGGGCTTTCTTCCTCTAAGAGCTGGAAAACAAATCTTGCCTGTGATCAGTCTGCTTTTTTTGGTGGTGCTGGGAATCGAACCCAGGGCCTTGTGCATGTGAGGCAAGCACTCTCTACCAACTGAGCTATATTTCCAGCCCCCTGCTTTTTTTTTTTTTTTTGGCAGTAAAACAACCTCCTTTATTCCTGTCTTTTTTCCAGTTAATTTTTCTTCCTATGTGCAACTTATGGAACCAGTTTCGAGGCAAATTCACGTATTCCGTGCTCATATAAACAAATATTAATGCATATTTTTCCAACCCAGTTCTCGGTTCTTGACACTTTTAAAGCCTACTGAACACATTATTCTGCGCCTATTTTGCTTTTTTCTTACTAGACTATTTCCCTGGGCTTATTAGTAACCCAAATCAATCATGATTTATCTCCAGTGAATTTCATGGTTGGCCACTGACTGAACTCCCACTGTTTTTGTACCACAACTTGAAGCCTCAGATGAATGTAATGAATCACAATTTTGCTTATAAACTTTATATTTGCCTCAACTTAATATGACTTGATCTGTGATTTCTGCCTCTACCTCGTGCTGCCATTAGTGTCTATGGTGCCTGTTTTCTCATCAAATTTTCCTTCCTTAAGCATAGTCTATTAATTGTCCCAGCATGCTAAACCTGCTTGACCACTGTAGCTGGGAACTCGATCCACATTTTATGAGCTAATGCTTACAACTCCTTCTCCTTTACCTCTGCTAACAATTAACAAAGCCTATAGCTCCCCTTTAATTTCTTACATCCACCCATTGTCACCACCTTTGTTCAAGCGCTTATTACTATTTTCCTACAGTTTTACTTTAACAGCCTGTGATATTTGCATTTTTAACCACTGAAATAAGGGTATGAGAACAAATCTTACCAAGTAGTGTTAATGGTTATCATTAATACTTCACTGCATGAATTTCACCCCTTGTTGCCTTGCTCATCACTTTTGATAACAGCATTAGGTGGTGCCCACAGGTCTCATCTTAAAAGAAGGGTTGGGGAGAAGTATGGGAATGTTTTGTGTCCAAATACCCCCAAATATATGCATATGTTTGTGTGTGTACACACCCATGGGCTCACACATGCACCCTAAAAGAGAAGAATATGATTTATGAATTAAAGAGAAAACTAGAGTATAGGTGCTTTAAAAAGCTTTGATACCACCAGCTTGTTGCTTCTTCCATTGCCTTGTCTCAGTTTAGTATAATCACACAATCTAATAAATATTGGTACCACTCAAATGAAATATGGACTGGCAAAAAAGTGAAGAACAATTATTGCAATCCCACTAAACTGGCCTAATTTCAGAAAAGTCTAATTGCCAACAACTGAGGATAACTGGACTCATCAGGTTATCTGAGAATGAGATGGGAAGAATGCAGAAGAGGACATCAATCTTTGGATTGGGTTTAAAATTTTCTATTCTCTTCCACTGACTTATTTGTGTCTTTCTACTCTAATGGAATACTTTTTTAATTACTATATTTTCTAAGTATGCTTTAAAAAATGTTAGTGAACTTCAAAATCACTTTGTCAAGTTACACTTTTAAATTCCTACTAGTATTGTTTGGATTGACACCAAATTTTGGTTTTATTTAGGGAAACATGAAAGTCTCACAATATTATTTTTCCAACCTGGCAATAGAAATAGAATTTATTCAGTTCTTCAACTATAACTTCCAGTAAAGTTTTGTAGTTTTGGGGTTCTAGCTCAGTGGTAGAGCGCTTGCCTAGCATGTGTGAAGCACTGGGTTCGATTCTCAGCACCACATATAAATAAGTAAATAAAATAAAGGTCTGTCAACAACGAAAAAAAAATTTTTTAAAGTTTTGTAGTTTTCTATAATTTCTGAGTAATCTAAATTGAGAATGAGAACTTTTATTTCTATTATATATTCAACTGGTTATTTTTGATGTGTGGGAAAGCTGGGAACTTTAATGTATTTGCTTAGTGTCCAACTATCTTAGTAAAGTGTCTCATTAATTTGAATGACTTTTTAAATTTTGTCTAAGTACATGATAATAAATTCTTTCAAAATGGTGACAGTTGTAGCTTCTCCTTTCTGTAATTCCTTATTTTCATTGTCTTAGTTATCAGAAGTATAGGCATGTACAATGATTTTGGAAAATATAATAATATTAACCATTCTTGATTTGTTCTGAGGAGAATGATTCTATAACAAAGTACTTTTTTTTTTTTTTTTTTTTGAGATAGGGTCCTGTTTACTACACAAGCTGGCCTTGAACTTCTGATCTTCACAGGGCTGAGGAGGATGCTTCTAATGAACCACTAATAAAAGTAATGTTTGCTATTGATTTTGAGAATTATCAGGAATTGGTGTCTACCTGGTCTCCTTTTATTAACTAATAAATAAATT